ATCCATTCAATTTTCGATCTTTTTGTACATAACTTGAGGTTTTACTTAGTATTTGATTTTGTGATAGCGAAAGGAAAAGGATATGGGGGGAGCGCCAGGAAACCCATTTGTCTCAAAAGCAGGAAGCAGGTTATTTAACGGGGTACGCAGGATTGATTGCTATTTATTAACGCTAAAAATAAAACAATTTAAAACAAAAACCATCTAGGCTATAAACTTTTAGGCTAAAATGCGATTTAGGTTTATCACTATTTATTAGACGTAGTCTGTAGTTTTCAACTGGGTTTATTTTATTAATCGGATATATATCATGTCTAACTATCATTATTTTTTTGTCTTATATCTAAAATGGTATGTGGAAGCTATTGTTTTCGTTTTCAAACTGTATTCATTCTACCAGTTGCCGCCGCCCAAGAAACAGAAAGAGACAGCAAGAGAGCGAGACAGTAGATGTGTAGGAGGGGATTTTGTAAATTTTAGATACTAGGATACTTATTCACTGCGCATAAAAATGCCTTCAATTGCGACATCAGCAAGTAACTAACATAACTGTAAATACCCAACACACACACAAACAATACGAATACAAGTAAACACAATATAAAGATATATATATATATATACATATATATATATTATATTGATAATAAAATATATATTTACCGATTACTTACTGATAGGTGTAGTAGGTCACTCGTACGCGAAAGTTGGTAAAATCCAATGATTAGTTCGTAAGCCGCGCATTCATATATCGAAACAATCGGTTATATCGTTTATATTAGGATCGATCGACACCGCGACACACACACACACACACACACATATGGCATATAAATACATATATATATCGCGATATATACTTTTAGTTAGTGTTTTTAAACGAAACGCGCAGAGTTTCCTTAGCTAAGCGAAAGACAAAAACAAAAAATGGGAGAATCAACTAAATAAGCTGCGCCTGCCAACGATAAAACCGATAAAAAAAAAAACCGAGGAGAATGCGATACCCACGCTGCGCTGCACACAATCAAAAAACAAAAAAAAACATTAAACGTTAAACAGACACCAAATAAAAACAAAAACTAAAGTAAAGCAACTTTAAATATATATTATTATATAGAAACGAAAACATACTCAAGTCACTGGGCTCTGCCGCCGAATGCCTTTGTACTTTTAACGTATGGAACAATGATCGGTAATTGATTATCGACAATCGTTGATCGGTAATGTTGCGATAACAAGACGCTGCCTTTAAAACGCAGACGCCGCGTGCTGGTGCAAAAAAATAGATATCACAAAAAATAACGCAAAATGAGTTATCGGATTAGCGGGCGCAGCTTTTAATTATTAATTAAGCCCACGATAGTAACCAAAAATAAGAAGAGAGAGCGAAAGAGAGAGAGAGAGAGAGAAAAAGCTGCTTGCCGTCTTTTCTGCGAATTGTTTTTGTTTTTTTTTTTTTTTTAACCTCAGCAGTCAACAGCAATGAACAAAGTTATGAGTGTGAAAGAGAGCGAGCGAGAGAGTGAGTGAGCGAGTGCGAGTGGCAGACACATCAATTATCGTTTTTTAACCGTTTTGTGTGTGAGAGCGACGGAAACAGCGAACGGAAGAGTGAAAGAGAGAGCATATTCCAAAACTATTTGTGATTACAATTATATATGATGATGATGATGATGAAGAAGAAAGCGGAAGTAAAGAAAGCTGGAAGCCAGAAAACCAGAAAACTTAGAAACAACACAAAGCGCATTAACCGGATGATACCTAGATTTTAAGCCTTAGTCTACAGCCAGCGCTATATACACATTTATATACATACATAGGTACGATCGATCGCACGAGAGCGTGGGATATATATATATATATATACATAATATGGTTAAGCCAACAATTGTAAATTATAAATGAACATTTATTCTTGATGCAGCAAAGAAAATGCAGAAAAGAAACAAAAACGAGAAAATGAAAACGTTAACCGAAGACGAAGCACTTTGCTAAGCGCGTTTATTATTATGCATACAAAATGTAATTTCTTATAACAAAAACCCAGAAAAAACACAAAACAAAAAAAAAAAGAACTTGAGAGGAGGAAAGAGAAAATGAATAACAAATACGAAAATAAAAACAAAAACAAAGGATGTGAAGGATAGATAAGTCAAGTGTAAAGTAAACCAAGCCTTAGTAAAAACTAGTTCTAACACAACAACCACGACAACAAAAAGAAAAAATCAAGAGAAATGAAAAGAAATGGTAAAACAAAAACGAAAGAAAACGATTGATACTAATAACTAATATTAATAATGAGTACGATAATGTTTATGCTAATGATTACGATAACGATAAATGATAATGATAATGATAAACCGTTATGACATAATACCTACTTGTAAAATAGTGCGAAAGTTAAGCTGATAAGATGACTTTGACTTTTCTATCAGATTTCATTAATTTAATGACCCCCTACCCCACCCCAGTCCACACAAAAAACACACATACATACAGACACACACACACACACGCATACACATCCATTGCTTGAGTGTATGATTAAACATAAATATATAAATATTTTTTTTACTATTATTACGATGATTATAATTATTAATATTATTATTGTTTTCTACCAATCTCTATTTCCAACTTTATTTCCCCTCCGTTTTTGTCGTATTGATCCAAAATCACAGTAAACCAAGCGAAACAAAACAAAGCAAACAAAAACAACAAAATAAAAAACCAACAACATTGTAATTAACTAAATACTTTGCTTGAAAGTGTAAAATAAATTAATTTAAATAAAAATTATGAAATTAAAATGAATGACCATAGAGGGTTGCTTTTTTTACGGCGGGAATACTCCTACTTTGAATAAAATACTTACTTTATAAATGGATCTTAATATCATCGCTGATTATATAAATTGCCGTAGTGCCCGATCATTGTTCAAAAATAATGCTCGATAATGGCCATATACCATGCATACGTTTTACAAATTTAAATATAACCCAAGAAAAGTGTGGTTCATGATGATAAGGCAGCAGGTGCCTCCTGTTTGGGGAATTCAAAATCGAGAGTTGCGAATTATTGGGTCGATATGATTCACATTCGTATATGGATTTACTGCTGAGATTCTCTTAACTGGCACATATGTAGCACTTATATCGCCAGGCGGAAATCGGGAGAACCACGGCTGTTTCGGTGCAAAGTCCGTACATATTGTACATACATACATATATGGTTCGGCTTAGGGAATTATCCGTACTATCAACCTGTGCCATCGTCACCTGGAAGATCTATAAATAATGTGTCGAAGGCAGTTTCAAGTGCTGGCCAATTGACGTGCTAGGTCCGAGGGATATACACACATATGTGTGGTGATCGCATCGAATCGGGTCGAATCCGATCTAGGGTGGACCTGATTTGAATGGAATCAGAAGGTAACTAGTTGAAATAGTCAGCCCAAGCAAAGCGTGCAGTAAAGCACTTCGATTTCACAGGTGTTGAGCCCAAGCAAAATAAGGTCCACTCTAGCCGACCGAGTAGTACGAAAGACATTCAGTGGGGGGTCGCAAAGTCCACATGAAGGCTAACAGAAAAGTAAAACATACGATGTTATTTGCTACTATTTCATGGGATTATCATGATAATTTGATTATGTTGGAACAGATTATATTATCAGATTGCGCTGATTCGTCACATTATTTTCCAGACTTCATGAACCTGCTTACCTGAAATCATAACATAACCATATTTCGCCTTAAAGTGTAAGATTTTGTAATCTTTATGGGGGTAACGAAAGCTGATTTTCCACGGCAACCGAGTCCAGTGATTCATTCACATTCATTCATCGGATTCATTCATGGCAACGGATTGCCATTACCTCTCAAGGTTGTGCCATCCAGACGAGCATATTAACTAATTTATGGTTCAGGTGGAAAAGTTTTGCTACAATCGAATTACATTGATTACATAGGAGAGCAAGGCGGCTGATCTGAAGATCTTGTGAATGAATTGGGTAATCAGCAGGACGCAGCTAAGATTCGGATTGGTAGTGTGGCAAGTAGGCAGCCAGAGTTATGAGTGTTTCGCCTCCTCAAAGATGGCTTCCCTATCGATGGTTCCGCCACTCCATCTCAAGTGAGTGCCATCCAATTTAAGCGAATGCCACCACTCGATCTCAATAGACACGGCCAAGTGGCCTCTCGGATCGAAGATACGATTGCCTGATATGGTAAATGAAATAAGGCTGATTATGCTCCTTCATCGGCTTTATCGACTCACTTTTTGTTTACCTCCTTGAAATGCGAGGCCGTGTGGCTCGATTGCGATTATTCAAATTCTGGGAAGGCTTTAGACCATTTCTGACTTTTGGGTTTCTGGGAAATCGATTTATCACCCTATATCTCAACATTTATAATCAAATTTCCCGATGTTTTGTAACTGTCCATTATTCTCTTCAATTTATTAACGGGAATTATATCATCGCCAAACTAAAGTTGCGTTTAATTCCTAATCGATTCACCATAACACCATTTTAATCTGTGACCAATATTTTTATATTTATTATATTGATTTACTCGCCTTAATAAAGAGTTTTAATCTTACAAAAAGTATCATAGGTATGCTTTTTTGGGAACCCCTTACCCAAATCAACCTTGACTTTCTATACCAACTGAAATGATCGTATAATTGTCTGTTGAGGTGTGCTGCTCGTGGGACCAAAGTCCTCGGGCTTTTGGTTAATTTAATTAAAGCGAATCTAACTTTTGTTCTTTGATAGTGGCATGATGAACAGTCTGCAATCTTGACCACAGCACTGCGACTACTATTTTTTGTCTTTCAATTTGACATGGATTTATGGACGGCGGACTGCGCTTGGAGAATCCAGTCCGCTCATATGTATGAGGTAACCCATATGGGTTTTGGGCTGGATCGGATTGGGGGATTGGGCCAGATAAGACACATGCGGCGATAAAGTGGGCAATACAAGCCTGTTGATTAGGAGACGCTGGCGACGACGAGAGGAGAGTGGTTACCCCTTATCGGGGGTGGCTCCAAGACCAGTAGCTGTAGCAATATTTATAGACTCCAGGGGCGGCCGTTGCTTGGTCATCGCTAGCGCTGCCCACTCAAGTGCCCACTCCAGTCGGTCCTAAGCCAGAACGGAACGGAACGGAACCCAAACGAAAACAAAAAACTAGCCTATAAAAGGCAGGCGATCTTTGCGATCGCCAACTCAGTAACACGAACCACCCACAGGTGGCCGCGACGCGTTATATAGATCATAGCATCACGCTAGTCACCATACCATACCCACCGACGATCCACGCACGGGATTATTATGAAGGCGCATTTCGGTGTCCTGGCAGTCGCGCTGCTGTTCGCGACTGTCTGTGCCCAGGATACCTCGTCCAACTACCTGCTCAGCGGTCACTCCACTCCGCTGGCCAGCAGCTTTGCCCACCAGTTCTTCACATTGGCCTCCCAACGCGCCGAACTCGCCAATAGGACGAGCACCCAGGTGATTCGGGCCTACGAGGATCGCGCCTACGACGATGACCTCTGCGAACGGGATATCAGCCTGATTCGGGATTCAATTAACAATTTGGAGGAGTGGGCTCTGGAATGTAAGCATGGCTGGTAGTAGGTGTATTGAGTTTTTTTAGGAAGTGATCGTTCCAATTAAGATTATTTTGAACCGATTTGACCTTATATTGTCAACTTTGTCAACAATTCGCTGTAGTTCAGGCACTTCTCCTAATCGCCGCTCACCATTTACCTGGTGGCTATTCATAAATCCAATTTAGCCTTGATTTCACTTTTATGTGTTCCATAAATTTATTCGCAAATCAATTTCTATCGCTTCATATTCACTGCTGAATTGGTTGCGATAAGATCTGGCGAATGCCTGCGAAGTTTCCCACATGATAGGTTTCCTTGCACGGGAACTATGGCTATAATTTATTAACAAGATTAGGAGAATAAGACCGAGACTGATCCGGCCACTTGATCTTCTGGCTACTCATTTTTGTTCATTTTAGTTCCTTTTTGTTCTATTTCATTGACATAACAAGTGAAATTTTATTGCGACATTATTGCCCATTATTGGCGTTATCTCCACTGGCACTAAACCATTCCATTCATAAGTGGAGTGCAATTTACGACACTCGTATATCAAGCTTGCATAGTAGAGTGCACTATCAAGCACTATCAATCATATCATATCAGTCCTTTAATCTGGGGGCTTATCGGCGCTGCAAATGCCCAGCATAAAACCTGCAGGTGGGGAAAGTCGAAAATCTGTAACTCCAATTTGATGGACTGGAACTACTAACAATTGAAAGTGGTCCTTCAAGCCGGAAATTCTGTTAAGTGGATGTTAAGCTCCATGCCTTTAAGTTTTCTGTACACTTACGCATTGCTGAAATCGAAAAAGATGGATTACTAAAGTACGTTTCGTGCTCGGCTCCTTGCAGTTCCCGACACCTGGGGTCGCTTGCCCATGGGTCTCTTCTGGGGCCACACGATCAGCATGGGCCAGTACGAGGAGTGCGTGGCAGCCAGCAGTACGCACACCACGGAGATCCGTGGACAGTATTGCTTGGCTAGTGTGAACATAACCACGTTCTATCAGTCGGTTAAGAAGCGCGGCGAAGAGTTCACCCGCATTAGCTATAAGCAAACCGATCCGGAGATCTTTGAGCTTGGCATCTGTATTCCCAAGACGTGCAGCGCTTCCAAGACCGATGCGTTGCTCAAGTACGCCATCACCCACTTTTATGGCCAGGATGTGACGGAATCGGACTTCACAATGGTAACGGAAACGCGCTGCAAATACGATGCGCCCATCGAGCTGCGCGGCATTGACATTTTCGCCATGTGAGTCGATAGCTTTCAATTTATTCGAACATTACTAATGCCCTGTCCACACAGCATTTTCTTCTCGCTGATCATCTTCTTCATGGTGGCGAGCAGTGTCTACGACTACATTCAGACCCGTAAAGGAGGTAAGTTGATGGATACTTCAGTGTAAGGGAATAAAAGCTAATGAGGATTTCTTTTGTGTAGCCCCCAAGAAGCCACTGCTGGTCGCCTTTTCCGTGCTGACCAATGCACCGAAAATTTTCACCGTCAAGAAGGTGAACAATCCCAATGTGATTCACTGCCTAAATGGACTGCGATGCTTCAGCATGATGTGGGTGGTGTTTGGCCACGGCTACATGACCTTCTACGATCTGCCACATATCAACAGGAACAAGTTCTACACCTGGGTGCAGACCCCCTATTCGATGTTGGTCCAGAACGGCTCCCTCTGCGTGGACACCTTCTTCTTCATGTCCGGTCTGCTGATGTGCTGGGGTGCCTTCCGCGAAATGGAGCGCACCAAGGGCAAGCTGAACATCCCGATGATGTACTTCCATCGCTACATTCGACTCACTCCGGTGGTGGCCGTCGTCGTCCTCTACATTATGTCGCTGTATAAGTACTCGGGCGCCGGACCCATGTGGTTCAAGCTGGGCACCCAGGATAAGAGATGCGCCGACACCTGGTGGGCAACGCTGATCTACGTCCAGAACTATGCCTTCCCCTACAGCATTGTAAGTGAGATTGTTGCCCCTCGCTAACGAATCCTAAATTCCCATTCCCATCTCTTATTCCCAGTGCATATCTCAATCGTGGTATTTGGCCGTGGACACCCAGCTGTACTTCCTGTCGCCACTGTTCCTCATTCCGCTGTGGAAATGGGGCAAGAAGGCCTTGGTGCCCATCGTGATCGTACTGATCTTGTGCTTGGGTGGAACCTTTGCCACATTTATGTTGAATGACTTTACGCTGTTCCGTGTGCAGGACGATCATGTGGATCTGCGACAGCGATTGACCTACTATCCGACCCACACTCGAATTCCCACCTGGTTGATTGGCGTGATCTTTGGCTACTTCCTGTTTACCCGTAACCGTGGACGCCAGATTCCGATGTCCAAGCCCATGGTCCTGACCGGCTGGTTTGTGGCCTTTGGAACGATGTTGGCCTGCATGTGGGGACCATATTGGCGCATCCTGCCGGACACCCCCGACTCGCCACTGATCGAAGGCGCCTTCTTTGAGCCCCTCAGCAGAACGTCGTGGGCTCTGTCCATCGGCTGGATCGTTTGGGCCTGCTACAATGGTCATGGCGGTCTGGTCAATGACTTCTTGTCCTGGGGCTTCTTCACGGGCTTCAGCCGATTGTGTTACTGCATGTACGTCATTCATCGCATTGTCCAGCTGGTCAACGCCGCTCGTCTGCAGACAGACACCCACTTCTCCAACTACGATGCGGTATGTAATGATAATGCTCCTGCTGCTCGATGAGGTGATCCAAATTGTTGAATTCCCATTCACAGATCCTCCGCTGGTGGCACGACTTTGGCATCACACTTACCGCCTCGATCTTTGCCACTTTGGCCTTCGAGGCACCCATTTTGGGCATCGAAAAGGCCATTTTCGGCAAGCCGGCGCCCAAGAAGCCAACTCCCGGTGAGCTGGCCAGGACTGCCCCGGTGGCAGCCGCTGCTGCTGCCGCTGAACTGGAACCGAAACCGGAGCCGGAAGCGGAACCGGAATCGGAAGCCAAGGAGACCAAGACGGAAATAGCGCCCGTTCCCACGAACGAAGAGAATCCATCCAAGGCCTAGACTCTGCAGCCTCAACACGATTTTTTTTTTACCACCATGCGAACCAATTTATTGTGCGTAGTTAGTTTAATTTATTAAAAAAAATTATTTTCAACATTTAAACGGTTCAGCTATTTATATCCAATTTTACATGCCCAATGAGTGGCTTTTATAGAGATTCTGTTAACAGCGCTGTGGCGTAACATTTCTGTTAGTAAAAGCGCCAGTACGGCCGAAATGGGAACATTGCTATGCGGAACCAATGCGCCACCTAGATGGTAACTCGATGAATCGCTTAATATCGATAGACAAGGGCAAACATCGAAAGGTATCGAGAGCCGAAAAAACATCGATGCCCGATGCATTGATGTTTATTCACATCACTAGCTCTACGGTAAAAATGGAGGCAGAACAACAAGAATTCGTAAGTTCCGTTCCCAAAGTGAACCAAACAAACAAATAAATATTGTTTATGCGCGCTACTGTGCCGCCTTGCCGCCCACTGGCACGCCACGCCCACTCGTCAGTGCAAAGTTGTGATCGTCATGGTTTGAAGAAAACAGGACTTGCAACGGGAAAACCTTAATAACAGAAAGGCTTAACGAAACGTTTACCGAAATTTTGCGTGCGTGTTTTCAACCTGTATTCGTATGCCAGTGTGTTTGTGTGTGTCGCTATGCGAGCTTACCTGTGCGTGTGTGTGTGCTGTTGGGCAAACTTTTTGTGTGGCGGTATTTGTGCGTTCGTTCCGCAATTGCAATGTTTGTATGCATGTATGTTTGTGCACTGGAAGTGTGTGTTTATATCGGTTAACACGTGCCGCCCCCGCCCCTCTGCTAATCACTCCGTCTCCTTCCCTCTCGCGCATTCCGTTGCAGCTCTCTTATCACTGCATGTGTGTATGTGTGTGTGTATGTGGGTTCGCTTCATTAGGGAAAGTGATTTCCGGAGTGCAGTTGTTGTTGGTTACTGTTGCTCTTGCAAAAGGGTCAAAAACCGGTTTAGTTGCAAGCGAAGTAGGAAAAAGAAAAACTGAGAAACGAGTGCTGGAAAAACGCTTTCCCTTCGTTAAAATAACCGTATTTTGTTGATTTTTTTAAGCCGGCCAATTTTGCATTGCACAAATCTTTGCTCCCAATACCGTTGTCACACATACACACACACACACTAGCGCACAATTGTACTGCCATTGTTTGCTTAATCACTTACGAGTGCGAGAGGGAGAAGGAGGAGGAGTGAGAAGAAAAGCGGGGCGACTGAGAGATCGAGTAAATATATTAATTTAATTGGTTTTAAATTCCTCTAAAATATTCCATATGGTATTACAAATCTTGATAATATCAAAGCTCCCCAAAATAATAATTTGTATATATTAAAGTAATTCAGTAAAAAAGGTAAAAAAAATATACATATGTTCTTAAATATAGTATACTTTCGAAGACTATTTTTTATTTAAATTGTTATTTTCATAAGCTGCAACCGAATTATGTTTTTTTTTTACTATAGTTATCTTATATAGAAACATTTTTTTTCGAATTATTTTGTAAAATGTATTCATCTATGTACATCTTTAATAGCTTAAAATAGTTTTCAAATTGGCTGAACAATTCCTCGAAATTTATTCGCAATTCTGTGTTAATAATTTCCATACCGAAATTCTTTTGAAGTCGCCAGTTTCCCAATTTTTCTTTGTATTTTCTCTACGCCAATCGGAAGTAGCGTTGTTTATGTGCTTTCTCGATAATTTATTTATTTTCTTCTCAAGATTTCCCCATCCACCAGCATCGTAAATTCGTATTTCTTTGGAAATCTTATTTCGGGTCTTCAAAATTGCTTTAAGGCGAAATTTTCATTCATGCAAATTTATCGTTGCTGTTTTTACACGTGGTAGTGATGAAGTGAGAAAAAAGAGAGAAGGTCAATTTGTGGTTTATTTTCTGATTTGCCATCCATATCACGCGATCTTAATTCAGATTGAAAATCACCTACGGATAATACTATACAGGGATTTTTTTAAATTTTAATCTCAGCTGTGTGTGTTCCAAAATGTTTTTTAAAATTATTTCTCATAGTGTTATAATTCTATTGATTCTTTATGATTCCATTGAAAATTAGGAACACTAATACACGAACTTCATATCCTATTAAACTATTTCATATATTTCAAATACTATTGGATTGAATGGAAGCGAAATGATAAATTCCAAGGTCTCGGAATTCGATCGATGGAAAATCCTGGCATCCTTTGATGGCTTCTGCCGCTTTCTCCCACTATTTCTTTTTTTTTTTGCTCGCGATTTGCACATATTTCGTGTGCGCACAATTGATTTTACTTCAATTGACATTACCAACTACAAATTGTTGCGTTCTCATTGTTGCATATGTTACTTGCCAACTTTTGTGGATGCCACCACCCCCAACTAGTCCGTCCGTCAGTCTGTGTGTTCGATGCATAAATCATATTGCTCATAAAAAGGGCAGACAGTCGGGCAACAACAATGACAACACTTCAGTCTTCTCTCTGGTTTCTGGTCCTCCATTGGATTCCATGTGCACAAATAAATTTATTTGTGCAGTAAATTCGCCAGTGGCGCTGTTTTCTTCTCTTGCGAAAGGGGGCTTCAGTTGGTATTCTCAATGCTGGATTTTCGCATTTAAAATTGGTTTGCATTGAACAGCTTTATAGCTTGATAGGAATTCTTTACGATAAGCGTATTAATTCTAGCATAACTTACGAGCAAAAAATTTATCTTGTTGTGCTGGCCCTTAATAATTATTTGTTGCTGCCTTAGGCGCTTTAGTTTTTCCCATTTCAAATGCAAGCCCTAAAACGAATTTTGAAGAACCCTTTGTGGAATTTTTTTCAACTCTACCTCTGCGCTGCGAGCGCTTACAAAGTTATGAAATATTTGTGTCCCATTGCAGTTGACTGCTCGTCCTTTTCATTCCCGCCGCAACTTGGCTTCCTTCCTTTTCTGCCAACAACATCATCATCATTTTGCCCTTTTCGGTTGCCCTGGATTTATTATGGCATCCTTGTGCCGGGATTTTGAACCCAGCCCAGCCCAAAGTACAATAACCCAGGGCAGGGCAGCCACAGCCAAAGGATGATGATGGTGGTTGTGGATGAGGGTGGGCATGGGGATGAGGATGAGGATGAGGTGGCGGCAGCCTGTTGCTATGCCTGTTCTTGATTTGACTGGGCTTCCTCATTTGCGTTGATTAAGCCGCGAGGGCTGTGCCACAGATAGCGGCCACAATAACTTTCATTAAAAGCGAAAAAGCGAAGAATATAAATAAAATGGAAAATAAACACTAAAGCGTTGTGCAACTGGGCCCATGTGTGTTCGCTCGCTGGAAATGGGTCAGGCCCAGTAGTAGTCCCCATTCGCATTCCAAATCCCAGTGCTTCTTTCTCTTATCATAGCCCAGAACCAAGCCCACAATCTAGCCAAAGTGGAGCAGCCGCCCGGACCGAAATCAAAACTGGAACGGTGTTTGGTTGGTTGGGGGCTGTCTGCAACTTTTCCTTCCCTCCCAATTTCTGGGAGCTCCGTGTGCCTAGCAAAAATAATATTCCGAAAATAAACAAACTGGCGAAAAAATACAATTTTGAAGGGGAGAGCAAAGACAGGCCAACAAATGCGCAAAGAAAAACTATAAAAGGTGTGGGCTCCCCCACAGAATACCTTTAGAACCTAATGTCTGGCTGGCTTTAACCCACTGAACTTAACTAAATAGCACTCAATGCTCAAACTATATCAGCAAACTAAATGGATGGATATAAAGATGTCACACAACTTAATCTCCTTGGGCAAATAAAATACTTTGCAACTCTTCAAACTTTTGCGCTTTTCAACTGGAATGCTGGCAATGGAAACCGACTGTTTGCATATGAAAAATTCAATTGCGCAATTTCTGCGATTACTACAGTTTACTTGTTTGCGAATATTTATGGTATATATATAAACATATAGGCAAGAATCTGATTGTTCGAGAATATTTCATTGATACTCGTATGGGTGCAAGTGGAACGGATTGTTTTGAATAGTTTGTGTTACTTGTCTATTACACTTAATGGCATAAATATGTGTTTTTTGTCTACATACATATATTTTAGGTTGTTTAGCATACGCTGAGTTTAGTGCATATGTAATATTGATATATTCAAGTCTTGAATTCCATTGTATGATGCCTCACATCGCCCTTTTAGAACGAAAAGTATTATTTTAAAGTTCTCGAACTATTAATTACAGCTTATCCGTGATCTGCATCCTATTTGCCTCCTAGATCTCAGCAATTGACCATTAATATCCGAGCCTCCTGCATTGTTAACCCTTCGATTGTTTACCAACCAATTGCTCCTCTTCTCCGGGTATGTGTGTTTGCCACCAAAGTGGGTCAATGGATGCAGTCTGGCTATCTGAGAACGGCCATTTTAATCGTGGCCAGATTCCAGGTCCGACGTTTATTACGATTTTCCATTTACTTATGGATAATTGGAACTATTGCGATTGCCAGTGCTTCTCTGGGCAATGGAGGAGTAGAACTCGGTGTGCAGCTAGGGCATTGTGTTTCGTTTTTGTTGTTCGCCTCCATGCCATGCCTCCATGCCTCCAAGCCTCCATGCCAATCAGGCAGGTTGTTGAACTCCCTCGACTCGCAGACTCGCATGTGACCGACCGGGTGAGTGGCTCTCAGAGACCAGAGGCGCAGCTCTTCGCCTCCGTCGCGCTAGTTTATTCTGATTCTGATTCTGGATCCGAATCCCAATCTGGCGGTGATGATGCTCCTCCTCAGAGCTTCAGATGCTGGCGTGGATTTGCCCTGTGCTGTTGCTTCCGCGCAGATTTCTTTGCGAGTACAGTAGCAATTAGATAAGGCAGTCTAGTTAGACGAGAAATTTGTTACGAAAGATATTTGGAAAGATCTTGGCATTAAAGTTGCATAGAATATATTTAATACTGATTTTATAAATCACATTTAAGATATTTGAAAAATTACAAAATGTGTATATCTTCAGAGATCTGCACATTGTTAGAGCGATCAGTCCGACTGAATTCGATTTATCGAGAACTTACTGTGGTGTATCTGATTTTCTTTTATTTTCTTTTTGGCTTTTTCTATATCCCTCTTTA